CGCTCAGCGGCTGTAGCGGTGAGCAGGTGGAGTGATTCGTCCGGTGCGTCCCCACTCCCCTGGTGGGGAGAGAGGCCTCGAGTCGGTGTCGTGATGCAGAGCTCTCCGCTAGTTGAACGACGGTGGTTTCCACCAGTGCCCGGAGGTTCCGGTGGATCACCTGTTCCTGAGGGTCGTTCGGCTCGGGAAGGCCGCGCAGAAGTATCGCCGCAGCGGCGATGTTCTGGTCAGCCCGAGCGAACTATGGGGGATCGTTCCCCCCATCCATGATGTTGCACTGGACCTGGCAGGCGCGACCCCGGGCGCCGCTCGCTGGTTTATGCGCATAGGGTGCAGCGTGGTGCGCCGAGCGCGCCGACGTAGGTGGCGGCTGGTTCTACCACCGTTGTCGTAGGTCCTTGCCGTGCTCTCATGTGAGCGCGAGGGTTCCCGCATGAGGGTCCAGAGGGGTGTGAGCCTGCAAGGACTCCGCTTCCACCGGTGGCTGTCCCTGAGCGTCCGCCATAGCGCACTCCCGAGACGGACGGTGGCTAGGTGCCATGTCGCCGATACTGGAGCCGTCACTCTCAACATCGTCATCCATGAGGTTGAAGAAACAGGTGGGAGCATAGCTCGCCATCCCCATGAATTCGAACGTGAGAGGGGGTGACACCGGCATCCTTTAGAGCCCCCGGGCGTACGCATCCGCGAGGGATGCGAGGCCATAGGGGAACCGGTCGCACGACGGTCGCTGCAGGGACAACGGGGTCCCTACGGATAATCGGCGAAAGATAGTGAATAGTAAGTAAATAACAACATGTAAATTACTTACAACAAGGTTTGAGCAGAGAGTTTGCTCAGAATGAAGCGCAGGTGCCTCATTGTTGAAGTCGTCGTGCGTCCTAGAGCTGATGGAGGGCGCCCCTCCGTCGAGCGCCAGAACGAGTGCCTCCTCGCGGAGGTGTAGTACGCCGAGCCAGTCGGCGGCGAAGTCTAGGCTTCCGAAGAGGAAGGCGTGGGATGGCTCAAAGACGGGTGGAACCCACATCCCAACAGGTAGGAGTGCGGGAAACTCCTGTGAGCCAAAACGAGTCGTATCGCTTAAGCCCGCCATGGCGATGGTGGTGGAAAAGTGGGCCATCCGATGACCAAAAAGTGTTGAACGTACAATTTCTTCCCCACGGACGGCGCCAACTGTCGGTGCAGAAAGTGACCAACATGTAAATGTTTGTAGTTTTGTTGTACGTTGTGATCGGAGGTGGCCTAGCACTCAATGATATAGGGTTTATACTGGTTCAGGCAACGTGCCCTACGTCCAGTTTGAGTCGATCGGTGACTTTATTCCTGAGCCCAGGTGCTCGAAGTTTGCAGTGGGGTTACAAACAAGAAGGAGAAAGGTGGGGGGTACAAGAGGTCCGGTCGGACTCTGGTCAAAGGGGCCGAGAGTGACGGGAGCTCCGCTATGTGCTAAGTGAATTTGATCGATCTGATTGAATCTACTCAATGAACTTATCTGTTGGGAGAGAGCACATCCCCTTTTATAGATGAAGGGGATGGCTTTACAAGTGAGAGGGAGAGAGTACGTATGCTACTAAGTCTTGTCGTCCACGCCGATAGGTACAGGATGATGGTAGAAGCCCACAATACTGTTCAATGTCAGATGCACGTGGGAAATTGTGTTGTCTTCTTCGGGTATGGCAGACGTCGGTGCCTGCCACATTGTTTGTACCTAGAGGCACACAAGGGGTTTTACCATGTTCCCCTGGTACGGTAAATGCCAGCGCCCACAACATTGTCGATGCCCAGAGGCATGTGGGGGTGCCTTACCGTATTTGTCTGGTATGGGAGTTAATGGCGCCCACAACACTGTAGGGGAAAACGTCGGCGCCTACAACACTGCTTGAGTTCTGCCATGCCAGGTGGGTCGTAGGGTACTGCCTGGTAGGTGCATAGGGTATGGTCCCTGGTATTGCGGTTTGACTTGTGCGCCCTACCATGCTTTCTCTGTCTATTTCCTGGTCCTTACCGAGCGGGTGTCCCTGGTCGGTCGGTCCCAGTCGGCTCTGATTGTGCCAATCGGAGAGGAGCTGTAAGCAGGGGTTTAGCGCATCCCCGGTCGGAGACACGGGTCGGAGTCGGAAGTAGTGTTTTGGCCAAGCCTTCCGGTCGGAGAGGCCGTCCGGAGGCAGGCTGGAGACCGAAGCAAGCGCTCCGGTTGGAGAGGCGGGCCGGAGTCGAAAGCGGGCGCTGTTCCTCCTTGGCCAGGCCTTCCGGTTGGAGATCGGATCATCCTTCTGGCCTGTTGTCTTAGGTATTTGGGCCGGCCCATGAGTTGCACGTTGCTCGCAACGTTGTTCGTTGGGCCGAGCCTTTGTTGGGAAGCCGGTCCATGAGGGACCCCGGGTTTATGAACCCGACAATCGTATACCATCATTCTTGGCAGACATCAGGATACATAATGTCCTACATATGGGCAAACAATGCCTCAGTAAGAGCCTAGAGAAGCTCTTGGTATTCACAAGGTTTGACAGCTTAAACATGATTCTAAACATATGCAGCCAATCTCTTCTCTCTTATAAATCTGTTTATGACTGAAAGCTGTTTTGATGTACGCTCATTGATAACCTGCCTACCATGATTCTAAGACATTTTTTTCAAACAGAAAATGTCATCCCTTCGGCTTATGATAACCAGAAAATATAACATGACAACTCTATAACACAGGGAATAGTTCCTTCGTGGTCAAGGTGCAACTACGAGATACCTTACACTAATGATATTCCAAGTACGGTGAAGTACCATCTGGATGTGACCACTAAGGGCTACAGAAGTCTAGTTTACAACGGTGATCATGATCTGGTCATACCTTTTATCGGCACACAAGCCTGGATTAAGTCTCTTAATTTCTCTATCGCGGATGAGTGGAGGCCATGGTTTGTTGACGGCCAAGTAGCAGAGTGAGTCCATGTTTATCAATCAGTCTAGAAACACAACTACAGTAGTACATGTTATTCAGGCAGACTACTGTCCGAACATCAAACCATTTTGATGATTTTATTATGAGAAGAAAAACAAAACAAGTGCTGATAATTAACATGCCCTAAAGTTATGTTAATTTAATGATTTAGATATATACAATTTATGCAGATTTACAAGGTCATACTCAAATAACCTCACCTTTGCAACTGTAAAGGTAAGAAGGCTTGGCTAGTTATCCATTCAATGAGAATTTTTTTTCTTGTTTCCTTGTGTCAATGTGACAATTGTTGCCTGATATCATTCTTGACACATTATGCTGTATATTTTGGTTTGTGTAGGGTGGTGGACATACTGCTCCGGTGTACATGCCAAGGCAATGTTTTGCTATGTTTACGCGGTGGCTTTCTGGTGACCCCTTTTGATGGCGTACATAGCAGATCAAAGTTTCAATGCATTACATTGCAAGAGAAATGTATTGCTTGGGATCTGGATCAAGGACAACGGTTGTGGAAGGAATGTTGATTTATGATACAAATTACTCTTAGCGTCTATTCATGATGTAGCGTACTTTTTTATGTCAAACTTCTCTAATTTTGGTCAAGTTTATAGAAAAATACACTAACATCTGCAATGTCAAATTAGTTCCATTAAATTCAAAACAAAATAGTGTAATTATTTGTTATTAGTATTGTTCTGTTTTGTATTTTTTTATATAAACTTGACCAAAATTGGAGATATTTGACTTAGATAAAACTAAAACAACAAAGTACGTATCATATACTTATCTTAGTGATGGCAATAAAAAAATTATACATTTTTATAGTTGGGGAATCGGGTTGAGAACTCGAGGATAGTTTGAATAGTTTATATGTAATTTTTTTTGAAACAGAGTTTGCACTTTATTATCAGGATAGGTTTATTTACATCATGAGCCTCCAAGGTTTTTACAAACTCTGAGAGAGGATTAATCCAAATCATGCAGTCGATCCAGGTCACAATTCAAACCAATGCGAGCAATATTATGTGCATACCTATTACAAGAGTGTGGAGAATTGACAACATCAACCTAGACAAAATTTATGGACATAAGAAACTTTTCTTCTCTATAAACAAGACTACACAAGCTGAAAAAACACAAGAATGAGGCTGGAGAGCCTCTACTAAAACTTATTGTGGAATCGGTCTCAAAAGAATCTGAGACATACCTTGATCCATTGCCATAACACACATCATGTATGAATCGCTTGGCTATTGCAAAGCATTTCAAAGCCCACCCAAAATGAATCCATCAGTACACCCCCACCTAAGCATTAAACAGCTAGCCCACAAAGTGCTACACGGGCCTACGGAGCACTAAGGCTTGCCCTGAGCCAACTGTCATTGACGTCTGCACATTCGGGAGATGCGGAACCGTCATCTTGGAGATCAAGTCGAGAAGAGAAAGCTTTAGTAAGGTGGAGTTTATACATGAAGGCAGGCAGTCCAATCATGATGCTCATTTGTTAGTTAGAAGTTCGGTTAGTCTTTCTTTTGGTTGAACGACTCCTCTCTTCGCCCGACAGAGTTTGTAATATAATGATTGCTTGTGAATAAATAAAGACGAGGGAGGGTTGTTTCTAAAAAAAAATCGTCGTCTGCAGATGCTCGAAGAAATTCCAACATAAGAAATAACACTCCAACAATTCAATTCATTGGGCACAGAGAGCGCTGCTAGGCTTTGTAGTATGCGCTCGATTAAGCAGCCCATTATACTGTTTCAGGCCCAGTTAACGGAAACAACATGCTTATTGAAATATTATCTCAAAAAAAAACATGCTTATTGAAATACGGATATTTTGTACCTCAATCCTCAAATCATATGCTCAAATGCAGAAAACTTGGCCAAGATTTCGTGCAGAATATCTGTAGCATTTGTTGCCCTGTTCGCTTTCGCTGATAAGCCATGGCTAAAAATAATATTAGCTGATTTATTATGAAAAAAAATACTATTTATTGACTAAAAAAATACTACTTATAAGCCAAGCGAACGTGGCAACAAATAATCAGTCGTCCTGGACGCAGAAGATCGTGGGCTTGACGGGCTCCGTGATCTCGACGGACCCTTCCAGCATCTTGGCCACTTTCCCCATGGACGGGCGCATCTCGGCGCGGTCCTGCAGGCACCACATGACCGTCTTGACCATGCGCTCCACGGTGGCGACGCTGGCGGCGTCGTCGTAGGAGGCGGCGATGCGCGGGTCCAGGATGTCGTCGATGCGCCGCTCCACGTACACCTTCTCGTACGCCCACTTGGAGAAGTACCAGTCCTCGTACACCTTGGGGCAGAAGTCGTCCTCAAGCAGGATGTTCTCGGGCTTGATGTCGCAGTGGAGAACCCACTCAAGGCACTCCTCGTGGAGGTAGGCGATGGCGCGGGCAACGCCCAGGGCGATGCGGTACCGGGTGTGGAGGTCAAGCAGCGGCTGCTGCTGCTGTTCAGAGGACGAATCCTCCTCGCCGCTCCCACCGCCACCCCCACCCCCACCGCCGCGCAACAGGTACTTGTCCAGCGACCCGTTGGGCACGTACTCGTACACCAGCATCCGCTGGTCCTTGTCGGCGCAGAACCCCCCACATGCGCACCAGGTTCAGGTGATGCATCCGCGCGATGATGGTCACCTCCGCCCAGAACTCCGCCTCGCCGCCGCCCACGCCGTGGAGCTGCTTCACCGCCACGGCGCGCCGGTCGGGGAGCTCGCCGCGGAACACCGTCCCGTACGCGCCGCGGCCCACCACGTCGGAGAAGTCCTTGGTCGCCTGCTTCAGCTCCGCGTACGAGAACCGCCGGGGCCCGCCGGCGGGGAGGTACTCCAGCCCCAGCGTGCGCACCATCTCCCGGTACTGCGAGTACTTGCGCAGGAACGCCCAGAACGACAGCACCCCGGCCAGCAGCTCCACCGCGAACAGCGCCGTGATGATGGCCACATTCCGGATCGTCGTCCGCGCCTGCTTCGGCGGCACCGGCAGCGCCAGCCGCACGGGGCACACCGTCTCGATCATGCTCGTCATCCCCGTGTACGGGTTGCTGTCGTTGTCCGACGCCACCACACGCAGGTACGTCGCCATCTCCGTCGCCGAGGACCAGTACCCGTCCGCCAGCCCCGTGAACTGGAGGCACGTCCGGTCGCCGCCGAACTTGTACCCGAACGCCACGCAGCTGGAGTTAACCCGGCAGAGTCTCTCGCAGTCCGCCAGGTTCTGCGGCGTCAGCTTGGTCATCAGCGGGCCCTGGTCCGACGCCGTGGTGTTGGCGCCCCAGGAGAAGGAGACGAAGTCCATCCGCACGAACTTGTCGTCGTCGCCCCTGCCGCTGTAGTTTTTCTTGGGCGTGCAGGCGTCGGTCAGGGTGGCGTTGCGGTAGCCCGGCGGGCAGACGCAGCTGGTGCTGTCGGCGCCGACGGGGACGCAGATCCTGCCGCCGGCGCAGGTGCCCCGGATGGTGCAGAGCTCCTGCACGACCTGCCACACCACGAGCCACGTCCGGGTCTTGGGCACCAGGCTGTAGAGGCGCAGGTTGCCGTCGTCGTCCAGCGTGAGCCGCCGCACCCGGTTGGTGGTGCCTTGGTCGGAGGCGATGAGCTGCGAGCCGCTGAACTGGAGCGTGCCGTCGGCGGTGAGGTTGAGCAGAGCGCTGCCGCCCCTGCTGATGTTGGCGTACATCATGGATTTGTTGAACTGCAGCGTGGCGGAGTTGACGAGCCTGTAGCGGCCGTTGGCGGACTGGAGCGTGGTGAAGTTGCCTTCCAATTTTTTTGTTTTGTTTTTTAGCTTTTATTTGAAAATTTTTCATAAATATATCACTGTAGGTATGCTTTCAAAATCTGGACTCTTAGCTCGGCGCCACACCCTTAGCTCGGCACCATTGTTGGTGACGCCGAGCTTATATGTCTCGGCACCATAGATTTTGGCGCCTAGGTCTTGAGTTCGACACAGACGTGATGGTGACTTGACAGGCACCTTGACGCTGTAGATCTTGGCGCCGAGCTTGGCGTCGTAGATCTTAGCGCCGAGCATGGCGCCGTGGTTATTGGCGGCAAGCCCTGTCTTACCTATGGGTCATCCCTTCATTTTTCTCTTCCTCTCTCTGCCACACCAACCACCACAGGATGGTGTGCCGCCACTTGCCGCCCGCTTATACGTCTTGGCCCATGTGCTTTGCCGGGAGCCGCCGCGCTCGCCCCTAGAACCCAATGGGCCTGGACAGCGCCGCCGCTTCGCTGCGCGAGCGCCGGACGTCTGCGCGCCGCTATCTTCAATCATTGCCCATTTCTGGCCCCTCGGCTTGCGCGCGCGCCCCCATCGTCGTCGCCACGCCACCCACCCCTCTCGTCCCGCGCCGCCTTGTCCGTCCCGGCTCGCCGCATCCGCCGCGCACATAGGCGCTCCCTCCGGCGACCTCGGCCGCGACATGACCCCTGCTCCCCTAGCGCGCCGTGACCTTGCCGTCGATCTCGTCCTTCGTGTCCCCGTCCTGCTCCAGTCCCAGCGTCCGCGTCATCATTGCATTGACTTGGACATGTAAATTTTTTGAATATGCAATGTAGGTACTTAGTTAGCTTGAGTTGTAGTGCTACTTTGATTATTTGGTAGTTTTTAGTAAATTTGATGATGTAGGTAGTTGATTTAGTTAGTGAGATAGATATAGTTAGATAAATATAGTTAGTATCACTTTCTATGTTCTCATTTGGTGGCAGCAGCTAGGAATCGTAACTTTAATATTGAGAGCAGGATACCTCACGAGTTCAGTGTCGACACGCTTGTGCACACATGGAGCCCCCGCTTCATGCCTTTCCGAGACCCTGGAGAGTGGCCTTCATATGATGGGCCAAAGTACATTGCGGATCCAGCTTACCGTTAGAACAAGCGTGGATCAAGAAAGAGGACGAGGCACTGGATGGTTATGGATCAGATACCTAGGAGAACGAGGCATGGGAGAGGAACCCCATTTCTTACTGACCCCGAGCAGTACGAGTGCGGCAAATGCGGTAGACTGGGCCACAATTCACGCACTTGCCATTGGTAGATTAGTGAGGTGCGACTATTGGTTGTTTTTATTATTTCATATTTGTTGTATTCATTTAATTAATTATGCATGTCTCAATTTATGCTTGTAATTGTGTCAATTACTGGTACATTTTTAAGTTTATGTTTTATTGTTTATTGAATTTCTATTTCATTGACTTTTTTTTAGGATGACGCAATTCCACCTGCTCGACCCGGCGTACGAGGAGACACACCGAAGACGTCTCATAGCGGAGGGGCAGGTAATAATCTATACGTCTTGTTCAAATTTTTATGAGCGTACATGTGTTCGTGAAGTAACGGGAGACTATATTTTATTTCATACAGGACCTTCTGCTCCTTCGTCCTAGAACCCACAATGGGTTCTTGGACATGCAGTACGACAATAGATACACTTCTTTCCTGCAAAGAGCTGGCCTAGATGTTATCTCTTTTCAGGTTCATCGTGGGTTGCCCAAGTTCAACTCGACGGCCATAACTGCGTTGGTTGACAGGTATTATCTTCAATCATTGCCTCCATTTATGGCCATTTGTTCATACGCTTGCCTTTTTGACATGTAATCTTGCTTTGTCTAAAATGTAGGTGGCGGCCGGAGACTCACAGCTTTCACTTGCCTTTTGGAGAGATGACAGTCACGCTCCAAGACTATCAGAAAATGCTAGGTCTGAGGATTCACGGCAACGCAGTGACTGGGTAGTGCAGGTCAGAAGGTTGGAGTGCACGAGTAGAGGCCTTCCTTGGGCGTGAGGTTGGCGAGCAAGGGGCTCATACTTCTGGAGTTCTAATCTCCTAGCCCTGGCAAGAGTTCACACAGTGCCCCGAGGAGGCAGATGAGGAGACAGTTGGGTACTACTGCAGGGCGTGGATCCTACACCTGTTTGCCTGCGTTCTCTTCCCCGATGCCACGGGTGACACTATGTCGTGGATGTGGGTCCACTGCCTCACTGACTGGGACCAAGCGGGTCAGTACAGCTCGGGCTCTGTAGTGTTGGGTTTTCTTTACCGGCAGCTTTGCGAGGCGTGTTGTCGGACTTCGTCCTCAGCGTCACTTGGTGGATGCTTGTACCTGCTCCAATTGTGGATGTGGGCTCGTCTATCAGTTGGCCGTCCCGAGGTTCTGGCTCGTCGTGAGTGGTTCCCAGGTTAGCCTCCACGTCGGCAGCCGACGTGGGCGTACCTTTGGGACCAGGTTAGGGTTCCGCACGCGAGGTTAGAGTGGGCGTACATTGAGTTCACGAACAAGCTAGACACGCTCACGGCATCTAGTGTAAGTAATTTTTATTTTCTATGCTAGTTTGAAATGGTTTAGTATAGCATCTAACATCTTGTTTGGACATGTTGCAGGTGTCGTGGGAGCCGTATGATAGAGAGGGGGCACTTCCTTTTTAGTTGAGCAACATGTGTGGGTGCGACGACGACTTCTACAGGATGAGGTGCCCTCTAATTTGTTTCTATGCTGTCGAGTTCCACCTGCCAGATAGAGTTGCGCGCCAATTTGGAGTGAGACAGCTTTGACCAACGGCTCCATTCTCGACTGGCGTTGACTTACACAAGTAAGTGTTTTGCTTTTTCAATTGTCTCATGATGGTCCATTTTCATTAATTCCTATATAAGATGAAGTAATGATAACATACGTGTATTTTTAATATGGTGAAATGTACATGGATTGAGATGAATGTGCGTGTATGGACATTTCTTGTTCTCATCATTATGGCAAGTTATAGGACTATGGGTTCAACCCATGTCGTGATCTATTTTCTCTTCTTTCTTTGGAACCCACATGGTAACATTTCCCATAATGAAGCTTACATATGATGATACTGTTACGTATGATTTCTTCAATCACTCTATACCTTTCTTGAGAAGCTTACATCAAATAGTCGTGTCATATAGCTTAGGTGTCATTGTTTTACAGCATCAATTTTATACCTGCCAGAAACTAACATGTTTGGTTTAATTACCTAAGGCATGTTAGGTTTAGTCGAAGAAACTATGTACCCTTGTTTGGTACATGTTCTCACATGCCATTTTCTTGTGCTTGTTGTTCGCTTCAATTACCTAAGGCATGTTAGGTTTAGTTCAGGACATCTGTACCCTAGTTCGGTACATATTCTCACATGCCACTTCATGTGTTTTATGTGTTGAATTATATAATGCCCTACTTCATTAGATTTTGTTTGCAGCACGTGATCATATTTCACTATGTCCGCAATATTAAACTGAATATTATGACCACAAATAATGAAAACAACTACATAATGAAAAGTCTAATACTATGACACATTAAACAACACAATAATACTAGAAGTATGTGCCAACAAACTAAATAACACAGTACATGACCTAAGCATGCCCATACATAAAGTGCATTACATGACAACACAATGAAAAGTCCAACAATAAACAACATTGTTCATGAATAAACCATAGAACTAGCAAGTAATGGAGACTACTGAGTGCAATGAGGCCACTTTCCCTTCCTCAGGGCATCGGGATTCTCCTCCATCGCTGCTTTCGCTCGGCGTGCACGCTCAAGCTTTTTCTCCCTCTCCTCCCTATACGCAGCAACACACCTCCTTTTCTCCTCTTCCTTGTGCTCCTTTTGTGCAGCCTCCTCTCCGCGTCTCTTCTCCATCATCTCCTTGTTCTCTGCCTCCCACCGCAATAGTTTCTGCATCCATTCCTTGTCTTCAGGCTTGATCTCAGTGTCGATCCACTGCTTAAAATCACAGAGCGGTGGAGGGGTCTGCAAAAAATACAATTGTTACAAAACAAAAAAATCATACAAGGTATCATATGACACAAACATCAATTCCTCATCATCTTATTAATGCGGTGCTGATGAAGTGTAGGCTCAAACACAAAATTAGAACATATCCAATACCTCTGCCTATATGTGTCCTCTTCATCGGACTTGGCTACCTTGCAAGGATCGCCGCAAAAGCACATGGGCACTAGAACACCACTAGGCAGAGGCAATGGGTCGAAGGCATTTCCGGTCATCTGGCCATAACTACAATTTAGCCATTTTTGTTCTAAGAACCAAAAGCAATTAACATTAAACCCTACACCTAGGGTTTCCTATTTGATCCACAACAATGAACCCATATCATAACAACGTGCGCTGAGGTTACCTTGGTTTGGTAGCTTGTCCACGCCTTGGCATCCTATGGTTGTATAATATAAATATTAAAATTGCATGAAACCCTAAGTAATGATGATTTTTAAGTTGAAAAATCCAACTAATATATACCAAATCAACTTAAAAAAACTAGGAGGGAGCGAGGATACCTTGCTCTCGAAGATCTATGGATCAAATCAAAGTTTCCAAGGTTCAATATGCCGATTCGTGAGGTAGGGCGAAGTGGAGAGAGAAAAAACCCGAGAGGGAGGAGAAAGAAGAGGAAGAAGGCTCAGGCAGGAAGGTTGGGCGCTGGGTTAAAACACCACCTCGGCGCTATAGATCTTGGCGCCGTTCTCGGCGCCAATAACCACGGCACCAAGCTCGGCACCAAAATCTACGGCGCCAAGGTGCCTGCCAAGTCACCGCCACGTCTGCATCGAGCCCAAAACCTAGGCGCCAAAATCTATGACGCCGAGACGTGTAAGCTCGGCGTCACCAACAATGGCGCCGAGTTAAGGGTCCAGATTTTGAAAGCATACCTCCAGGGGCATATTTGTGAAAATTTTTCAAAAAAGGGCTAAAACCAAAAAATTCAAAGTTGCCTTCCTTGGGCATGGCCTGCCCCGGCATCAGCGTGTTGGTGGGCTCGGCGAAGCTCGACCAGGCGACGACGGTGTAGACTAGGCTCCCCGTAACGTTGAGCTGCAGCACCGCCGAGGTGGTCGAGGTATTGGTGGGAGGGGGGCACAAGCGACCAGATGATGGCGTTGTTGTTCCCGCCGGTAGTCCAGGAGAGCCGGCCTGCCATGTCGATGGCGAGTGTGGAGGTGTCGTCGCCCTCGTAGGGTGAGTAGTTGCGGAGGTCATGGGCGTACCATATGACGGCGTTGTCGGTGGAGTTGGAGCCGATGACCCAGACGGCGAAGCGGTAGTGGCCCGGAGCCGTGGTCGATGGCACGAACCCGGCGGCGAAGTCGCCATTGGTCGAGAGAGGAGAGTGTGATTGCTGTCGGTGGGGCTCCAGGTTGAGTTGCTTGTGGAGAAAGAGGACATCTGCTGCTGGGCGGTGGCGAGAGGTGGCACGAGGAGGAAGCAGAGGAGGAGGGAGAGGGAGGCCATGGCCGTGAGCCAAGAAGACGACGACAACAACTCTCCTTTGCTGCTAGTGTCCCGTGGAAATAGCCGATCGATCGATCAAATTAGCGGGGCGGTTGCTAATAGTCATCCTGGTCTCATTGCAGCATCACATCATCCTATGGGGGAATTGGGGATGGGATGATCCAGTCGACTGATTTCAAAGACTACTAGCAAATCGGTCTTAGTTTGAGTTTCTAGTCGCAGCTGCAAATAAATTTTGGAATGGTCGTATTCCGTTTCTTTATCCCTTTCAGAATTCCAGTGCTGCTCATGGCGTGTCCCAGCTGCAATCCACATGTCATTCCATGTGGGCCTAGTAATGGGTCGGGATCGGACTATGGCCTGTGGGTGGAGGCTCGAGCCTTTTTTCGTTCACTTATTTATATTTATTTTTATTATTATTCCCTGAGACAAGGAACAATTCAAGTTGGGCACCATGGGCCATGGCTGTCGGGAAGGAGGATACCGAAGACTTTGACTTGGAATTTGAGGCCCCCTTTGGTGCAGCTCCGGGCGGCTCCGGCTCCCTTTGCTGCGACACTGTTCACGTCCTGTGCGGACACTGTTCATCAGAGCCGGTTTTCTCTCTCTTTGTTTCCTCTCTCACAGAGCCGTTCTGAGGGGGAGAAGCTCGTTTTTTGGGCTCCTCCGGCTCCGGCTATAGTATCCCCACCATAGAGCTGTTAAGTTGTGACCAGACTCTGACCTACGTCCGGTCAGCACTGACCGGACACGTTCGGTCACGAAAACTGCTATCTGGAACCTTACTGATGTTGACCGAACGCTGGCACCTAGAGTCTGGTCACTTCGCTGTTCAGCGTCCGGTCAATAACCGGAACCTGACCAACGTTCGATCAGCACTGACCGGACACGTCCGATCAGGATTCTCCCTCTCTGGAACCTTACTGGAGTTGACCGAACTCTGGCACTCAGCGTCCGGTCACATTTCACTCCACGTCCGATCGCAACCAGATGGCTTCTCCTTGATCAAATGAACTGATCGGACTCTACAGCTAGCGTCCGGTCACAACTGGATCAGCGTCCGGTCAACATTTGACCCTCCATTCACTTCCAACTCGAAATCATATGTGAATGAAGTTTGCACTAATTGATCTTAGGGCTACTTCGGTGCTACCTAGTGCTAGATTTGACAAGTGTGCACCACACCTAACCCACTAGACTCACCTAGGTCAAGCTACTAGTCCATACCCCCCTTAATAGTATGGCTAAAGGAAAAACAAAGTCCTAAACTACTCTAAGTGTCTCTTCAACACCAAACGACACTTAGAACTAGTCCATCCTTAACCTTGTCGTCCATCCTTTGAAAACCAAAATGATTTCCATCGTAGGGGCATGACAACCATGATTGCCCAATTAATTGCCATTACCATGACCTAACTTAATTGCCTCTATAGAACACACGTTAGTCATAGTAATCTCGTATTGTCATTAATCATCGAAACCCAACTAGGAGCCTAGATGCTTTCAATCTCCCCCTTTTTGGTGATTGATGACAATACAATCTCGAGTATGTAAAAGAGATGAGGATTTCAACATGCTTGGTTCATATAAACTTTTGACAATAAGGACAAAAGAGTTAGGTATGCTTATATGACCCAAGCCAACATGATGTACTCAATAGATATGAAATAAGCATGAGTACATAAAATAAAGCTCATTTGAATCGGAGTAAAACACGGAAGCAAAACCAAATGAGCATAATGAAGTGACATGACATATATAAAGATCAAAGTAGAGAGCACACATGGCACATATTACATAAGTATCACACATATCACATAAATATCACAATCACACGTATGTAGTTCAATGCATGAAAGTAAACATGAATGCATAGTAATGTATCACACATAAAAAAGCTAAAAGTAATAAATCATAAGCTCCCCCTAGATATATCGCTCCCCCTAGATCTAACATACTCGATCCCTCTCCCCCTTGCATCAAGCACCAAAACCTAAGGGTCTATCGGCGGGGCAGGAGCAGACGAGTCGGGCGCTGAGGTGTGGTGAGCGATTTGAAACTGTGTAGCATCATCCTCTGATCCGGAGCTCTGAGCTGTCTGATCCTCTCTCGCTAGAAGTGAAGCTGAAGCGGTCTGGGTCTGCTATGGGACTGGTGCGGCCTGTGACTCTGCAGGTACACTATAGCAGCTGGCTCTGATGACGCAACAAAAGAAGGGAGCGTCTCTGTAGTCCCAGTAACTAGAGCGATTGTAGTAGGAGTAGGGACACGTAGTGTAACACCCCAGGTGTTTGGCTTCCACATTTGCACTGCATTTCATGAACATGAGCATCATGCATCCCTTTGTGAACTTATAGCACATGAAACATAAATTCGAAACATTGCAACGTGTTGTAGATTTCATGTGTGTTGTTCTTTATGAAATGTAAAGTGTGCAACGCTTAAGTGCAACATGTGCCACTCACTTAGTGAAACAAGGTTAGTTAGTGCTATGCAACACAATCATGAAACAAGTGAAACATGACTATGAAACAGTTGCAACATTTCATGTGTTTTTCATTGTTTCAGTACATACCTTGCTTGATTCTTGTGTGACCAATGTGTGGTGTGGCTAATAATCATCCTAAGTAACTTAGTTACACCTAGAATGTCATTAGGAACAAGGTTCATGTTGATCATTTTGCCTAATTAGGTTTCCAAGTCATGGTTGACCAATTTGGACCCCTAGAGCTCCTATGTTTGACTGTTTTAAAAGTGTAGCTTAGGACGTTTGCATGTCTGAGCAACCTAAAGCAAAGTTGTAGAGAATTATATAAGGAACAAAAGTTATTTTATGGCCACCTCATGAAAATGTGCACAACATGTTCAAAAATGGTCCACAAGTCAGTTTTGAGGTTGGATTCGACACTTAGAAAATTTCTAAGTATGAAACTGAGTTTTCAGTTTCATGAGCTCAACTTTGGCATGATTTTACTCTCTATACTTTTCGAATTAGACTTTGAACTCTGAAGGAGTTTTGTAGCTGGTACTTAGGGCTTGCACTTTCGTTTAGGAAGTTTGCGCTAATAAGCATAGGATTATGAAATACATTGACTCCAAAATGTGGCGTCATTCCGGTTGATTGCAGGTTCGATGGCCATCTCCGTCAAAGCCGAGTGGCCGACCGGCCTCAGCCGTCGTTGCCTGCGGCACACGCCTGGTGGAGGCCGTCTGACGTGGCGCTGGCCCCACCCGGCCAAAGCCGTCATGGGCACCTCAACTCCACGCGCCCCTGGAGGAAGCGTCGCCTTCAATTGCATCTCCATCTCTTCCTCCACTGCCGCTCTCATGGCCGGTTTGCTCTCCATTGCCGACGCCGCCAGCCTTGCCACCACCGCCGCCGTGGCACCACCGTCAACAAGCTCTCACCCACAGCTCCGCCGTGTACTCCTCGCCTCGTCCACCTCACCGTGGAGCCGTAAAGTCAAGGTAGAGGCGTGCATTTCTTCTTCTCCGCGTGTCAGGCGCCATGTCCAAGAAGAGCTCCGTCGAGCTCTCTGGCCAGGCCGCCACCGCATCGCGACTCACTCCATCTCGCCCACAGATTCCCCACCATCTCCTTTACCTCATCCACCCTCTAGTAGAGCCTATCGAACGGAGTTGATGGCCCATTCGCCGAATCCGCCGCCGCCATGACTCGACCTCACCGGAGATCGAGCTCACCGTGGCTGGAGCACTTGAGGCTTCCCCTTTCCCATTTTTCTTCTCGGATAGTTTCTCCATGTAACCGTGTAGCTCATACCGTGCTTGGGTGGGGCAATGTAGGCTCGCTGTCATTGGAGTTCCACCGCAGCTCGCCGCCGTCCGCCGTGCATGTCGTCATTTGTAGGTAGAGGTAGAGACCGAACCCGAGGCACCCACAGGTGCGGCTCGTCGTGGTGAGCACGACGGTGGCTCTGGTTTCGCCGAGACGTAGCCGCCGGTGAGCTACGCCATGCTCTCGCTCGCGCCGCAGCCGTGTGCTCTGTTTTCCTTTCACTTACATGCGGGTGGTACCGATCGACGGACCCCACTTGTCGATGATTGAGTTAGAAAAGATAGTTCAAAATTCTAGTTTTAGTGCCATTTTGTAAATTTTGTAACTCCTACTTGGTAGATCCAAATTGAGTACTTCCAATTTTGTTAGACTCATTGTTAGATCTAATATTTAATAAAAATATATCTTGAGCATATCATGTAGAAAATTTGGATGAATTAAATAGGAACTTGAAAAGTGTTTTTGATTGCATGCAAACTTGTTTAAATCATATCTTGAGTTTCTGTGATCCAAAAATTGTGAAATTTTGTGGGTAAGCTAGTATGGTATAGTAGAAGCTCTGGTTAAAATTTGAGAGTCATTGCATGTGTAGTTTTTGAGTTATAGATTTTCCTTTTATCATTGGATGATTCTTGTGTAAATTTTAGTAAATAATCTATGAATCCAATGGCCATGAAACTTGGTAGGTAGTATCCTAGTGCCCTAAGGATGCTAGGAAAAAAATATGAAATCTGTTGCTTGACACTTTTCATTAGGGTTTCCTAATTATGCCATTTTAAGCCATTATGCCTTGTCATTTTTGTGTAGGCTTTTATACTTGCTCAAATGGTGTGAAATTTTTATGGTAGTCTACTTAGAGTATGTAGTGTCTACTGTAATTTTTGTAGAATTAATGGGGCAGTTTTCATATAGGTTTACTATTTCCCCTAATTAATTAAATAAATTAAGAAAGGTATTAAAAGAAATGTTTTGGTAATGGACATCCTACTTTATGGTGTTCTTAGGATATGTGTGATAAGATAGTAAAGTTGGTTTTGTCTAATTATATGTTTACATCATAAGTTGCTAATTATTTGTTGGCATTATGTCCCTCTGGACAGATCTGGGGACTTTAGAAAGTTCCCCCCTGAGATTTTGGTTTTCTGTGAATATGATGAATACAAGACTTGTAGATAATTTATGTATCTAGCTCCTGTCAAAATTT